AGATGTTTTTCCTTTCTCTATTTACTGTTTACTTAAATCTTTTACCATTCTATGTGAAACTTGAACAATAAAACGTCAACAAATGGCCAAAATGAACGATCGAGTACCTAAGAAGAGACTGGGCACTAGTAGGTTAAATCATGTTTTTCTCAAATCTACCCATATGACCCACCTCAAAATTTCAGGAGTAAGAAATTGGCTCTGATTTAACATTCAGGCAAAGTAAAATCAAAATCTGTTATAATCCATCAAAACTGTAGTAAGCCACCTATGATTCCAATGATTTAAGTTACTGCACTATGTTCTCTCGTCTAAATATATATATTGCTCATTTCTTCTTTTCAACATTTTTCACTCATTTCTTCTTTTCCTGACAAAAATTTTAGATGGAGGGAAAAGCATATTCACACAAAGTAGACATTTTTTCTCTTGGACTGATCTTTTTTGAACTGTTTTGTCCATTTGGTACACAAATGGAGAGGATAAAGGTGAGAAGATGAACTAGAGACTAGAGAACTAGAGATCATTGCTCTGTGTTGATTTTTTTTATTTTTTTCTTCGGTCTATAGTATCAAATTCTGTGTGAATCCTTTGTTATTAATAAGAGATGGGAACATCACTCGAAGTGAGAGTTGAGCTGGAGAGATAAAGGGTTGTAACAGTATTTTGCCCCAATGGGGCCAGAACGAGGTGTAACCAGGAGGGAAAAGATAAGAAAGTTCTTGGCGACATGGGATACCTATGGACTGGATTGGAGCCCTGCCTGAAGAACGGGATTGTGATGGGTGGGTTGCTATTTGCCCTTTCTTGGTCAAACTTGGAAAAGATGCTTTACTGATATCACAAACATATTAATTTTAATCTCACAGGAACCAATAAAGAAGTGAGACATCTCTAGCGTGTTACATCAGTAACAGTGAATGTATTTGGGTTGTCAAATACGTTGAATTTGAACAGAATATGAATATTCGAATGATTTTGAATAGTGAAATGTGTACATGACTGTAGTTTAGACTTACAATGTTTTTGTTACCTTTAAGGTCATGTGTGATGTTAAACAAAGAGTCATCCCAAGTAACTTTGAAGCAAAGATGCCACTACAGGTGTGTTCTAGATACATGTAGGCGTTGCAATGAACCATGGAAAACAAGGTTATTCAGCCCTAAGTTTTAGAAAAGAGATTCAGTGTGGCCAATGTATGTGAAAGCAGTTGCACTAGTATCCTTTTTCTACAAAAGGTACTTACATGGATTACAGTGTATGAAAGTGTTCACCTTTTCTGTCAAAAATTATATATAAAAGGATTAGGGTTTGGATCTCAGGGGAGCTTCTCTGAGATTGTTGTTTGTACTGAAACCATCACTTTTTTTATTTTCTTGCAGTCAAAACTGGTTCAATGGCTTTTGTCATCCACTCCAAAGGCAAGACCAAATGCCACAGAAGTTAAGAACAGTGACCTTCTAAAACAAATTAGTTTAAAGATATCTGAAAATACCATTCCCAAAAGTTAGCCAAAAGATTGTGCTCTCAAATTTTCAAATGGCATCAAGAGAGGAAAGATGCATCACGAGAGATGGGTGGTGAAATTCCTTTTTTTAAGCAGGCATACGTGGGTTATTACTGTGGAGTGTCAAAATAGGGACTTGTATTGTAAGAGGTACAAAGGACTGTGACTCTGTGTAGTCCTGAGCATTCACTGTTCCGCCAAAGAGCTTGTGGCTGGGTTCTGCTAGGAGTAATGTTTTCAATTTGAAAACTAGATTTACAAATGTTTTAATGAATTAATGATATTTCATGTATTATCTTACTAGGAATGCTTTTTAGATGACAATCTTTTTATTATGTGGCAGTGGCTACTTATTGGAGTATTAGTGTTGTGGGCTTTACAAGTCAGAATTCCCCTTTTATTACTGGTATTTGTTGTTCACTATAGAGGTGGTATAATATATGTGAACCATATTTTTCTATTTTAAAACGAGACTGTAGATATTGGTGTATATAAAACATGTGTTATTTATTAAAAATGGAATAAAAGTGTACAAATCTGATATTTCATCTCATGCATGCGTGTGCATTCTAAAAAGTGTCAGAGGATTTTTAGTAATCAGAGATTTAGCAATACAAGCATCCACTAGATAATTGAACAAAAATTGCTTGAAGTCTGTAAATTTATATAAGGAAGGTACTAATTCTTCCTCTTGGAGTTAAGAACTAAAAGTAAAATAGCCTCCATTTTAGATTGAAACAGTTCACTGTAAATCCTATTTTGCTAGCAAGAAGGCTAGAAGTGGAAACAGCTGCCCGCCTAGTTTATCAAAGATCATACAATGTTATAAAATCATTTAAAAATAATAATAATAATATCCCATTGCCAAATTCTTATCCAATAAATATGTTTTCTCAGTTTATATTGAAAGAATGCGATATCCTATTGTAAGGAAAAAAAAAACACTTGTTATACTTGTCTGTTCTTTGAACAAAAGCTTCTATAATAGAACTTCTGTAGAACATAATACCCTCAGTACTAAATTAGATTGCTCAATATAATATTTAAGTCTACTGAAGCATGCCTTTGATCAGCTGTGATCTCGTCAGCAATCCTCTGGTGATGAAGTTTCCATTGTTTTTATACAGCTTTCACATTGTTCTACAGCGTTGCTTAGGGTGTCCACCATTTCTGGACTGAACATGGTGACTACATCAACATTTAACAGATGGCAACGTACTGTTAAGGAAAATGGAAAAGATTACTACTTAACTTAACAATCCTTCAGTTAGACTGCTTGGTACTAACCACTTGCTGTTGTTACTGTGTCCTTAATGGATGCCAGGGTCTTCTCAATCTCTCCCATCCTAGTTGTCATGTTTTCGTATGTGTCAGGACACCCTGATAATAACATAATTTTCACGGTTACTGAAACATGAATATCAACTGAGGTAAAACTATAAATGTTCACAGAGAAATTATCTTAATGTACACCAAGTTCAAACCCCATTGAACAGAGTTAATATGTATTCAGGTGACCTGACACTTGGCAACCCCTACACAAATCACCAAAATGATTAAGTTAGTGTGTTAATACGGCAAGAGTTAAAATCACTTACCACTGCTATCACTTGTGTCACTTCGGCCATTATTGTTCAAGGTAATGTCCTAAGTGTGCAAATTTCATATAATTTTATATAATTTTAATGTAATCACACTAAGGATTTGAATGTTTGGTTTCATTTTTTGTTTTCCCAAATACTAATTGATATTTCTGGTGAATATTCTGGACTATATAGGCTATTACACCTGAGAAGATGTTTTTGTACGAGGCAAAATGTTTACGTCTGAAGAGTTCACTTTCTAAAAAGCGTACACTTTCCTTCCTTGAAGAAAAATGTCAGTGTCTTGCCCTCAGTCCCAACCATTAGGAGAATGTGGCGTTTAGGTACATGTGGAGGGTGAAGAAAGTGCTACTAAACTGCTTTGTCTAATTCAGCCTTTCTGATCCAAAGAGGTGCCTGTGTTTTGGATGTCAAGTTTTGGATGGATTCTTATACTAAGATTTTCAGTACTTCAATGCTGGTTTCCTCCCCAAATATATCACTGGCTGATATGTAACTAAAACCAATTGATCACGATACCTAAAGACCTTTAGGAAGTTTAAAACCGACTCGGGGAGAATTTTCAGTGAAGTCTGAAGTCCTCTATAACGAAACATGTGCCAGTTCTGGTGAAAATTTTACTTCTGTTTAGATCCCTTTGTTAAAAGCTGTTATAGTATGTAGATACTGTGGGTACATTTGGGAAGAAACCCCAGCTTTGGATTAGTTAAAATGTTTAGTCCAAGAATGTAGCTAATCAAGTCATCTGTCTGCAGAGCTACCATTTCCTTGTGTCAAGGCCCCGCCTGCAGCTAAAAGGAGCTCCCTGGGAACGGGAATGTCATTCAACTAAAAATAGAAAATTTGAAGTGCTTACATGCCACAGTGGTGGTGGTGATCCGGTGTTATTACTGTAGGTTTGTGTGGTGCTACTAAAGGAATAGAGACATTCTTTCAGCTTATATTGAAAAAAGTATATTTTCTCTAAGCTAATTACGGTCTACAAACGAAATGCTAATAAACGGCCAGCGACCATATAGAACGAAGTTGAGGAACAATTTCTAACAAAAATTTTTTCCATAACTAGATCGAATACACTATTTCTTTTACGTTTTTCACTGTATTGTATTTAATACAGGTGTTTGTTGGAGACATAGGCTTACCCTAGTCAAAACAAATGCTTGAAAATGATTTCTCTGTTACATTAACCAGAAAAACTCGACATTTCCTGAACACCTTTGTTCAAGACAGTATCGTTGAAATAGATTTTTTTGAATAGTTTATTAAGGTCCCCAACGTCAAATGTTTATCAAGATATTACCACGAATCTTCTTTGGCATCCAGCTGGTTTGGGACAAAGTCTGTCTCGCTTCGTACAGCTTGATCAGAAACCTGACAACAAAACAAGCGACAAAATGTATTTTACTTTGCTAAAATGAAAGGATAAATTGGTGACATCTGTTCCTCGGAGGTAAATTTAATCTACTAAACACACGGCATCAAAATATTCAGAAACAACCTGCTTCGAATTGTGAATATTTAATGAAGAGGTTTAAAAACCTTGCCAAAATTATAGTTTTTCATTTTGAAGTGCTTGTCAATTTATGCATTTTCAAAGAAACGAATATTGATTATTGAAGCAATTTTGAATATGACTTAATTGTAAAATTGAGAGTTCTGTGTTAGTTTTCAGGAATACAGCATAAAAAGTTTGAAACTTGGGTAGAGAAATTTTCTTGGACGTCATCCTTAAGACAAATATTTTATTTAAAAATTCACAAGATGCAAGCTTATCGCTTCTGTATAATAAAACCGAAGCGTTAATAAGCATTTTCCTTGCCGTATTGTTTTAAGCTACATTATATGCTTTAACGTTTTCTGATGAACACACAAAATACTTTCCTCCTTAGAATGTACTGAGAAATAAGATCGCATACTATAATTAAGAGGAAGAAATTAAGATAAAAGCGCTTGTGTACCTGTGAACAGACACCTGTACCTAGAGGTCCGTAGTTCTCGCCGGTGTCATTCGTTTGCATATTTAGCGTAAATAAAATAAACTATAGTCCCGAGGACGAGTGTTACTAAAAAAATTGTTGATGCCAAAAGAAGCTTCAAGTGTGTTGGGAGCGGAGGTGTAAGCTGGTGAACAATTATTTGTCTCTCTATTCTCTCTCTTGAACATTGGACCTCTTCTATCAAAGTTTCGCCCATCGTAAACGTTTCGCCAGTCGCACGCGTTGCAAGCGCGGGAAAAATGCTGACAAATCATAACAACTCCGTTCATTGGACAATCCAATCCTCTTCTGACTCTATTCAAATAAGCTAAGTTTTCATTGGTTATGTCGAAAAGGTTAACACAGCGACTGAGGCAAATAACGGGGAAGAGAAAGGAAGAGACGGCTAATACACGTACTACAGATACTGCAGCTATTACAGATAGTACAACATGCTAGGCGGGAAACGGACTAGCGCGTGCAGTTGCTGCAGTATCACCTGTAGTATAGTGCGTTTTCACTCACGTGGCCAAAAGCCGTGCAAATTTATTGGAACAAAAGAAAGTTTTTACATATAAAGCTAAAAGCCGAAGAGTTCAACTCCAACAAGATTGGTTTGAATTGGGACACCAATATGGCCACATGCTCCCCGAATTGTGAAAACACGCTATGCTGAGGGCGGGTTAAAATTTGGAGGGTTCGAAAGTTTCTCCGAAAATATATACAGTATACATTTCTGAATTCTCCCAAAATTTCATATTTGATACGGGTTTTGGTCAGGCTAGCCGTTCTTTTTTCATTAATAAAGAAAACGAAACCGTTCGAATGCAATACGGGTTATTCAACGCTTTCGAGTGGCATGCCATGGAATATCCCACGAGTCACTTGTATTTTCTCTATAGAAACACGAGCCTTTACTTTAGGCTAGTGTTTATACAGTCGAACCTCCATTAACGGCCACCTCCGTCTACAACGGCCGCTTTTTTTTTGGTCCCGGCGGACAGTCCATATATTCACTCTTATTTTAACCTCTCTACAACGGCCACCTATCCTCAACGGCAACGGCCAATGAAACGCGTTCTTACTGCCAAAATAACCTCAGGCTCTCGACAACAGCCAGTTAATCAATGACTGACGAACGATGTATTGCCGGAAAACCGCATTTTTCAGAAAAAGGTGACTTAACTTGATCCGTACTGCGCTTCGTTGGTCTCTGTTTCTGTTTAGTTTCTGTTTTATTTATATCTTTTGATTGTGTTACGTATATGCTAAAATAAGCACTTTTTTTAAAGAAAAGATGTTGCACCTCCGAAAAAAAAAAAAACAGGCGTCACGTTACACCCCTACCTCCCTAAAAACGGCCACATTCCTCTGTACCCAAAGTGGCCGTTGTGGAGAGGTTCAGCTGTAACAAGAAAATGCAAGTGACTCGTGGTATATTCCATGCATCAAAAACTGGATTATTGGATAATACATTTCAAGAGTTTTCATTGGCTTAGCCACCATGGTGCATGAGCCATGATACCATGCTCTACAAGTATGGTAAGCGTACGCGTAATTTTTTTGGGCGTTTTTATTTTTACTTTGTTTCATTTTTCTATATTTTGGGGGCGTTTTTAATAAAACAATTATTTGATCAGACGATTACAGCCCACTCGGCGCTAAGCGCCTCGTTGGCTATCTGCCATTTAATATGAAACGAGGAAAGGAAAATTTTGATTAATTACTTCCCTTTGCAGTCCGAATTTTGCATTACGGACCGCTAAAGATGGGCTGCTCACGAATTACTTATTTCCGCTAACTGCTTTTTCCACTCATTACACAAAATAGACAGGTTTTTCTTAAGTGGAAATCTTTTTCGCGTCTCCGAAGGAAAGAACAGGATCAAAAAAACCCACTACATGACGTAAGACCAGAAAAAGGACACAGAAAATGGTAAAAGTAAGTGTATTTTAAATCTACACTGAATTTTAAGCTAAAAATTCCTGGAATACCTCAAAATCCTAACAATTCTAAACGCTGCCTGTGTTGGAAATATAATGCATGTTGAGTAAACGTGACAGAAGATGTCATGAAAATGCCAGTTACGTTTTTCAGTATGGTCCAGTAGGTAGCGATCTTTCCCCAGCCCACCCCTCTCCACCCTAACCCCAGTCTCCGCCCTCGCGCACTGAAAGAAGTCTCCATCGAAGCAAGATGGCTTCACAGGGGCGAGATCTGCGAAGGTTTATGGAATTTGGACGAAAAATAATCGGAGTGGGTAAAAACTACAGGTTAGTTTAGCCTTGATTTCTTGAAGATCAATCAGTGCTTGTTTGACTATTTCATCCAAAATCTCTTTTGTAAATTGTTATTATTCTAGGCCCCATGGATCTCCACCACAACCACCTCCTGCTCAAGACCCTTTAATTTTTCTGAAACCTCCATCAACATATCTGAGCCCTGGGGGAAATATTAAGGTAACCTACTTACTTAATAGACGAATAAACACAAACCGCTGTTATTCTCAAAGGTGCGCACGTGGCGAGAAATGTCGTAGTCAGTTTAGGATGGTTTTACTAGCCACGAGGATGGCATAAGCTTACATACATAGTATGTTTGGTGACGCAGGTCAGTTGCCGGCTGCGCTAAGCTGATGTGGGCCTGCGAAAAGTTTAACTATCGTCTAATTAAAATGCTTACAAAAATAGTCCAGAAATCCTAACATAAAATGGAAACGATAATCACAAAAATAAAATAAAATATTAATATATATTACTACAAACTAGATCATTGGATAATGCAGTTTGAGAGTTTTCATTGGCTTAGCCATCATAGGTTATGAGTGATTATACTCTGCTCTACAAATATGGTGAGCGTACGCATGATTTTTTGGGGTGTTTTTATTTCTAAGGTGGGTTCTTCCCAAAAAGAAGGATATCCTGTTATAAACGAAATACAAACAACTCTCTCATCAAGTTTTTATTTATTCTTAGTAATGAATTACCATTGTTTACCAGTAAAGATGTATTCCTCTGTAATTGGAAAATTATGTACTCCATAAATTAAGATTTCTGTGACAATATCCAGAAAACTGACCCACCTATCTGCCCTAGCTATCTGCTAAGCCAGAATGTATGTCTTGCCATACATTTTGTAAAACAAATGCTGAAAAAATGTTAAGGTAAAGAATCATGTCATGGATCTGCCTTTGATAACCATGTATTCAGACTGCATCCATGATGAGAACTCTTTTTAACCCACCTAACTTGTTATTTTCAGAGGTGGCCCAACTGACAATTTCCCATGTCCAACAACCATTAAAAACCTGAGTGGTGAGAGATACTCTAAGCAGCAAAGTGTGTTATCAAAGAATACAAAACATATGACCCTAGCAAGGCTTAAACCTAGACCTGAGGAAATCAATTGTGTTTAATTATGCCAATTTCTGGTGGTATTTATTGGGAGTTTATATTATTAACACATTTCCTCAACTTTTATGACCAGATTCCTGTGGGTCGTGATCAGATTTACCATGAGGTGGAACTTGGTGTTGTGATTGGTAAAACAGGTGTGTCCATTTCAGAGTCACAGGCCATGGATCATGTTGGTGGATACATTCTGGCTTTAGACATGACTGATCTGGATCTTATTCTTGAAAAAGTAAGCTAGCAAAGTGATCAGTTTTGGGGGCTAGAGGCTCTCTGATCCATCCAG